TTATTTTGAGATATATGATACAGTTATGTGTTGCATAATGATGTTTCAGACAAAAATGATAGCCTCTAAGGTTATAATGGAACTGAGAAAGTTCTGTTGTCCAGTGTTTCTGTTCTGTCTTTACATGTGTTCAACACATGAATACTTACTATTGTGTTACAATTGCCTACAGTAGTCAGTACATTAACTTGCTATACCTGTTTGTAGTTTAGGAGCAATGGTCTATACTATATGGCCAAGATGTATAGTAGGCTGTTCCTACTAAGTACACTCTATGATGTTTGTACATTGACAAAATTGCCTAACAATGCATTTCTCAGAACATATCCCTGCTGTTAAGTATCACATGGCTATATTTTATTGTAGACTACAGTCATCTTTCCTTGTAGTAAAGCTCAAAATCTCTGAGTCATAAATTTTGTGCCTTTCACCTATAATTCAGCATGTTCATCCCCATCCCAGCCTTTGATAAGCGTCATTCTATTGTTATTGTTATTATCATTTTGGTACTGAGGATTGAATTCATGGGTACTTAACCACTGAGCCATGTTCCCAGCCCTTTTTAAATATTTTATTTGTAGACAGGGTCTTGCTGAGTTGCTAAGTGCCTTGCAAAGTTTCTAAGGCTGGCTTTGAACTCTCAATCCTCCTGCCTCAGTTTCCCGAGCCACTGGGATTACAGGCGTGCACCACTGTGCCTGGCATCATTCTACTTTTTATGAGTTCAACTTTATTAAATGACATATTTAAATAAGATGATTCAATATTTATCTTTCTATACCTGGCTTATTTCACTTAGCAAAATGTCCTCCTCCAGATACATACACATTGTCACAAATGATGGACTCTTCCCTTTTAAAAGGGTGAATAGTATTCTATTGTGTATCTCTCTCTCTCTCTCTCTCTCTCTCTCTCTCTCACACACACACACACACACACACACGACCACATTTTCTTTACCTATTTCCTGTTCATTTGTTGGTAGAGACCTAGGTTGTTTTCATATCTTGGCTATTGTGAATAATGCTCCATCACAGCAATGAACAACCCAGGAGCAAAGATATTCCTTCAACATAATGATTTCAGTTCCTCTGGCTATACATCTAGAAATGTGATTACTGCTTTGTGTGCTGCTTCTATTTTTGGTTCTTTGAAGAACCTCCATATTATCTCCCATAATAGTCGTATTAATTTATATTCCCACCAACAATGTACAAGAATTCCTTTTTCTTTACATCTTCCCTAGTACTTGGTACCTTTTGTCTTTTTGATACTAGCCATTCTAACAGATATAAAGTGATATCTCACAGTGTTTTTTATGGGCATTTCCCTGATAATTAGTGATGCTGAACAGTTTTTCATATATCTGCTCTCCATTTATTTGTTTACTTTTCTATACACAAAAGCTTTTTAATTTGATGCCATTCCGTTTTTGCTATTGTTGATAGTGCTTTGGGAATCATGTCCAAAAAATTGATTGCCCAAGCTAGTGTCAAGAAGCTGTTCCCCTGTTTTCCCCGCCCCGTTTTCTTCTTGCAGTTTTACAGTATCAGTTCTTATGTTTAAGTTGTTAATCCATTTTGAGTTCATTTTTGTAAATGAAATAAGGTTCTAATTTCATTCTTCCACATGTGGATATCTAGTTTTCCAGGATCATTTGCTGTGGTTGGAATATGATTTGTCACTTGCAGAACTCAGGTTGAAATTTGATTGTCATGGTGATGGTATTGGGAGGTGGGCTCTTTAAGAGGTAATTGGGTCTTGAATGCTCAACTCTCATAAATGGATAGTCCATTCATGAATTTATGGATTCATGGATAAATGGGTTACTGCAGAAATGTTATAAAAGCCAGCCTTTGTTTGGCTTGCTGGTTCTGTCTCCTCATGTGGTGCCCTTCACTATGTTATGATGCAGCAAGAAGCCCTTCCTGGATGCCAGGGCCATACTGTTAGACTTACAGTCTTAACCACGAGGTAAATAAAGTTTTATTCTTTATAAATTATTTGGTTTCAAGTATTTTATTATAGCAACAGAAAATGGACTAAGACACCATTTATTATAGGGACTAGCCTTTTTTCATGGTATGTTCTTATACCTTTGTCAAAAATCAGTTGAATATAAATGTGTGGGTTTGTTTCTGGGTTCTCTATACTTTTCCATTGTTCAATGTGTCTCTTTTTATGCCATTACCATACTGCTTTCACAATAATTGCTTTATAAAATGTTTTGAAATTAGGGAGTGTGTTGTCTCCAGTGTTGTTCAATGCTCAAGAGTGTTTTAGATATTTGTGCATTTGATGTAACAGAAAACAAAAGTTCATTAATATAATTTTAGATTTCACTCCTCTTCTTTGTAACCGCCTATCTCTCTGATGTCAGATTTTCTCATATTATCTAACCAGAACAATTTAGATTGAATGTGGAAGCACATGAAAGAATACAGCTGTCCTGTGTGAATAGTCAAGAGATTCGACAAAGTGTAAAACAATTTCCCTGTTCTCCTTTTTTTTTTGTTTTGAAATTTATAGTTACTTTTAAATAAATGTTTTGTTTTTATTAATATTAAAAATGAATAAATATTTTAATTATCACTTTTAATTTCTAAGATGGTAAGTAATGAAGGTGTAAACTATAAAACTCAATAATTTTTAAAAGTGTAAAGGGTTCCTAGATCAAAAAGTTTGAGAATCATAGCCTAAGACATCCAAGATAAGAGGAAAAGTGAGGCCAGAGGTGTAGGCATGTGGCATCTCACATTTGGCTAATGAAGAGCTCTCTTCTCACTGGGTTGTGCTGTATTCTTGTTTTGTTCTCTTTAATACTTGCATTTCTATAAAAGATGCTTTTTCCTCCATATTGAATCATCGATATACATTCCTCTCTCTGTAAATACATGTAGTAAACAGAACCCTACAATGTAATATTAACAACTAAATCTCTCAAAACTATCTCTGTTCTGACTTTAATGTAATCAATACAACATGTAAAACACAACTATATCTTAATTATGAACTATAATAGAATAATAATTTTGGTTCAATGGTGAGTCACCCAAGATGAAGTAATTAGAAAGTTTTACCAAGAACTGACTCAAAGATGATACAAAATATCTGATTTACTTTTTTTAAAAAATTGATTAGTTAAATGACTTTTGTACTTTTCCTCAGTACTTTATCAAGGTATAATTTAAGTATAGTAAAATGTGCAACTGATTCTTTACAAGATTTTGACAAGTAGCTTTCAAAGTTGCAAGTGGTTTGTGATAGTATGCACATGCAAGATGAGAGGAGCAAATTTGAGAATATCAGTTTAAAAAAATAAAATGAAGTGATCTTGGGGAGAGATCAGTTGACAGAATTCATGCTCTGAAATCCTATGTATTTATTAGAACCAGGGCACTCATTTAATTCTTAGTTCTTTAACTTCCAGGTAAAGAAGGAAGTCAAAAGTTTAATGATTACTTAAAAAACTGATCCATAAGAAACAAATTGATTGTTCAAAAAGAACAAGTTTGTCTTGGTATAGAATCAAGAGTAGAATTACTGTTATTGTTTCTTTTAAAGTGGACTTAGTATAGTGTAATTCACAGTGTACTCAACATCCTTACAGTGAAATCTAACAGCATTCCATTTAGGCTGTTTCTTTAATGTCCTTCAATATGGGCCCATGACATGGCTCCATGTCATTGGGGAAAGTAACTTCTCAAGGTCTTATTAGTTTCCTTTCTTTCTTTTATTAATTTTTTTTGTAGTTGTGTATGAACAGCGCGCCTTTATTTTATTTGTTTATTTTTATGCGGAGCTAAGGATCAAACCCAGTGCCTCACATATGTTCGGCAAGTACTCTGCCACTGAGCTACAGCCCCAGCCCTATTAGTTTCCTTTCTAATATGACAATAATGTTTACCCTTCAAGCATTTTGACATCATAAAGATAATATAGTGAGTACTCAATAAATTATAATTATTGTTCTTTTGTTACAGTAGCTGTGACAGGCAATGTGATATGATCGAGGTATGGAGTTTTCTGGTGACCTTATGTCAGAAATGGATGTTGTAATGTCCAAAGAATGAAGGTCCTGCATTTTTAAAAGGAAATATTTCATATATAATAGTACTTTTCTTAGCTGAAAAAATTTGAGGGCTAGTATAAAGTTTTACTGCCTCAAAATTGCCTATTATTTGTATCAAGTCAAATGAAGAATCACATGATTTGAGAGTTATTTAAGAAATAGGGGTCTTCCAAATATATGTGTTTGAATAGAAAGTCATAGCACCTAAAGAAATGACTGTAGAGAGGTTTGAAAATTTCCTCCAAAATAACTTTGGGTTTGTTCCAACACAACAGAAGAGCTGATGACAGAAATTCCAGACTTGTGACATGAACTGTAACTCCAGATACCCATCTCAGCTAGCACAGTTTTATGTACAAATAAAACAGGCAAGACTACTGTCACTGGTAATCCTCTTAGAGGAAGGAGTAATTTTTTTTTTCTTCAGACCACAATATTTTCTTCTGGAGTGTTCTTTCAACTGTCAGTCAAGTCTCTATCAAAGGAAAGAAAAAACAAATTTATTAGGGTTAGGTAAATTCTCAGTCAATGAAGGTTGAGTTAGGCCTGGACTATATAAACTTTTCAATTTAAACAGAGGAGTAGATTAGATTGTAGTAATTGCACAAGCATTCCACAAGGATGACTTGCTTTGTTAGTGGTCTTTTAAGATCAGCTATCAGAGGAACCTATCAGGATTTTGATGTTTTAAATATTTGGAGTCTTTGTTAAGAGTAGGATTTTCTTTCATTATTAACCCCCTGAGAATTTGACTTTAGCAAATTGTGCAGTTGCCACACATTTTCAACATCATTTAAAGCCACCTTGGGTTATCTACAGAGGACTAACCAAGATTTATCCTGTATCTGCAGACTGCTGAAGCTAGAGCCGATCTCCCGTCTCCACCGGGAGAACCGCAGAAGAAAGGCCCAGGTTCTTCCTGCCTGAACTAATCCAGTGGGAAGATAGTGGTCATAAGAATCTGAGTCCACTAGGTTCTTTAGGTATGTGTTGAACTAATCAATAAATTAAGACTCAACTATATATTCTAGTCTCCAATAGTGTTGTATTTCATATTAGAAATTTTCATTTCAATCACTGTTAGATTGGAATTTCAGGGTTTTAAATAAATCTCTCCTTTTATTCTTATTTATTTCTTCTTTTCCAAATACCAAGGTACTTCTTATTTTATTTGGAAGCCCTTGTGATATATTTTGGTTTAAACTGGTTCTTAAAAAAAATCAGTTATAAAGAGGTAAAATATTAAAATATCAATCTTATTTTCATGGTTAAGATTTATAATTTCTCATAGGAAAACTGGATGACTCTGTGTGTGTGTGTGTGTGTGTGTGTGTGTATGAGAGAGAGAGAGAGAGAGAGAATGTGTGTGTGTGAGAGTGTGTGTGTATGTGTACATTTCCTTTATTACTCACCACTTGATGGACACTTAGGTGGTTTCTGCTTCTTCGTCATTGTGAATAGTGCTACAGTTAAATATAATTTATATTAAATATAATTTTATAATTATAATTATAATATAATTTATATTAAATATAATTTTAAAATTATATATTATACTATACATGGGAGTGCAGGTGTCTGACACATTAATTTCATTTCTTAATTTACATTCCCACCAACAGTCTGCAAGCATTCTTCTCTTTTCTCCACATCCTTATCAGCATTTGTTATCTTTACTCTTTTTGATATAAGCCATTTTTACTGGAGTGAGGTGATACTTCGTGGTTTAGATGAACTATGCATGATTTTTGACATACACTATTTCTTCTCTATAATATGTGGAATCACGAGCATACCATTGTAGAGAGTGATTGGGAAGGGTAATCCTCCTTTTTTTTTTTTTTTAAGTGACTATAATTTACCCATTTCATTTGCATTTGGGATAGAGTTTTGGTTAAGGATCCCTTTGTTAGGCTCAGTCTTCTGCTTGTCTTTTTATTTTTATTTTTGTCTGTGAGCAGTCAGCTAAATGCACCGAAAAGCCGAGAAAGAAAAGCCTTGTGGTTCATGCACGGGCACATTGGTATCTCAGTCTCTCTTTCTGCCTGGTGTCTGCATCATTTTTTATGATCTATTTAAGAGTGGCTTCAGATTCCATAGTGGATGTAAGATGATTATTTTTACTCTGTGATTTTTAGTTATATATTAAGTAGGTAAGATAAATGTTATATAAAATCTAATGGACTAAATGAGGAGAACAGGAAATGCATTGGTATAGGCTTCTTGCAGGGAACAATATCTAAATGGCAATCTAAACTTTTAGGTGAAATAGTCACATAACTCTTGTAAATGGAATTGAGCAAATAAGAAAAACATTGCTCTATTCTAAAAACATACCTAAATTATCTACCATGGAATCAGATTTTGGCTTTGAAAGGTTTTTTCTTTTAAATTTATTTTTTAGTTGTAGTTGGACACAATACCTTCATTTTATTTATTTTTGTGTGGTGCTGAGGATCAAACCCAGAGACTCATATGAGCTATGTGAGCACTCTATCACTGAGCCTACAACCTCAGCCGGGCTTTGAATGTTTTTACATTTATGTTGTCCCATTTCTAACTTTTTTTTTTTTTTTTTGGCTAGAAGAGGCAAATTGAAATTCAGACAGCAAGCTGTGATTTGTCCACTCCTAGTTCTTCTATCTGTGCTTTAAGAGGAAATATTTGGCTTATAGCCAATTTTCTACCTTCTTTGGACATCGTCCAGCTGTGGGTGCTGTAGTCTGTCTCTTCCTGAGATAAACTGGCAACCCTGCTTACCAGTCAGTTCCAGCCATGCTGGCTTTTGCTTCTAACAGCTAAGTCTGATAGTGTTATGTGAAGCTGTATAAAATAGAAGATACTGATCTGGGCCAGAAATTTAAAGGAAAAAAGTGCTAAATAATTTTTCCCTTTTGTTTTAAGATTTCATGATGTTTGTATATAACGATTTTGAAGTTTAACTTCTCAGAAAGAGTGGCAGAATTTTTTCTGTGGATTCCTAAAATAGATTTTTATGGAGCAATGTCTGTGCTCTCTGGAATTCTCTCAAGCTTAATTCCCATTTCTGTCCTATAGTAATTTTAAACTTTTTATTTTTTGAGGCAGGGTCTTGCTAAGTTGCATAGGGGCTTGCTGAGTTGCTCAGGCTGATCTTGGACTTGAGATCCTCTTGCCTTAACCTCCTGAGTTGCTGGAATTACAGGCATGTGTCACCATGGCTTTAATTCTTTTTTTAAAATTATATATTATACTAATTGGTACTTACTAGATGTAGTCAATAATATTTATTAAATGTCTTAATTATTTAGGTCATTGTGATACATAAGACTTTCTGCTTGTCAGGTATATAAGGTATAAAGTCACACACACACACACATATATATATTATATGCATGTTTATTAAAAATTTTTTTAATTATGAAAACATCCCAATATTTCATATTAAGTTGAGAAATGGGAGACATGATAAAATGACTTTATTGATATGACCAAAGATAATGAAAAGAGTTTGATGGAGCTAAGAAGTGAAAATCAAGAATGTAGTTAGTATTTGGTATTTTTATGAAATTCTTTTTCCATTACAATTCATAGCATAGAAGAAACCATAACTTATTTGGTGTATTTTACTTGTAATTGTTCAATAAATGCCTGTTAAATTAAAAGCAAGTAGAGAAACATGAATTGGAAAAGTCTGTTTTATATTAAAGTGGGTAAGAGTATATAGTATGGAGAGCTGATCTACTTAATTAAAAAACAAAATCTGCTATGTTAAGCTCTGTGCTTTATTCATATTGCTCAGAATGATACTGCCTTTCCAATAAAAATTCAAAAGCAAATACTTAAAAATATAAGACATAATGTGGTAGGCATTGTAACAGTGGGAATGAACTTGTGTTAGCTTTTCATTGTTGTGATCAAAACACCCGACAAGAACAACTTGAAGGAGGAAAGATTTATTTTGGATACAAATCAGTAGGTAGAGCTTAGAATATAAAGAGAAGCCCCTTTGATATCCAATATGTAGATTTGCATAGGAACTATTTGACTCCTTCTCTGCAGAGTTCCAAGATGGTAGGAAACACTGATGACAGTGGCAAATTTGCCATTCAGAAGCCAACATGGTATAGTGTAAAGACTTGGAGAGTTAACAGACTTGTCTAATTCTTTAACAAGTCATTGAATCTCTCTCTGAGTCTTAGTTTTCTCATCTGTAAAGTGAATCAATAAAGCAACTTATGAGGACAAAATGAAATAACTATCTAAACAGTGGTTCTCAAACTTGCCTGCACATGTAAATCACACAGGGAGCTTTACTAAGGTCTTACACCCAGGCTTCTGTCCAGACAATTATCTCAGAAAATTTGTGGCTGGGACCACCACATCAGTATTTTTAAAAAGTTCGTTTGGTTTAGTCTATGTTGAAATGCTTGGTCATAAAGCCTATAATGAAATATGTGTAACATGGTAGGCACTCGATACACATCTAGTTCCCTGAAACACACACAAATGACAGCCTTTAAGAGTACTTAGTATATCATGTAGAAAATGTATTTGCTTTGTTTTTACTATTGTTCTGTCAGATGATGGAATAACACAGGACTGAGATAAAAAGAGAGAAACTGCTTATTAGAGAGGAGAATGGCTATTTTTATTTTCAGACGCTATCTGTAATTATTTCAATGAATTATAATTATTTCAATGAAGCAAGACAGAAAATTTAAAAATATTTTAATTAAAATTTAAACCTTAATGGCTCACAGGTTGGGGATAAACTTAATTTGATACAGAGAGATACTTGAAACATATAACAATCTTAATTTTAGCAAAGATATATTCATATTACATAGATCATGTCTACATAATAAGTGTTCTACATAATATGCAGACATGTAGATGTATGTTTTCTTTATAATAGTTGGTTGACTTTTAGTATTTGTGTGAAATATCGAAACCAAAGTTGAATCTTATAAAGACTGACATGTATTGTTAATATGATAATTTGCCTCCTGGTTTCATACTGCTGTTGTCATTATCAAATTATCTCCTCTGATCGTGGAACCTGAGTCTCTGAGTATAGATACTTCTATTAGCCACCAAAATCTATTAGGCTAACATCATGAAGACAAGAACATATTTTATGTGTTTATTAACATGATCTATATTTTCCATTATATCAAATAGAATATTTAGCAGTCTGCTTGTATACTTTTTAAAAATTGTTTGTTTTGACTTTGATCTTAGAAAGGTCATTTATTTATTGGAATTATTTTTTCAGTATGATTTTTTTTCCATAATAACTACTTTGAAAAGGACATCTAGAATAATAATTATTTGAAACATTCTTTAAGAAAGAACTTACTTATTCTTCTCATAGTCTTTACTGTTGCTAATTTTCAACAATCATATATGTTCCTTATATTAGGTGCACATTCAGACAACAAAACAAGCATTTTTCCCATTTCCAGGAAATTGATGTATAAATTGGTATATTAATTTTGCTTAGGTGAAATGCAAATTTGTTTTCTTTTACTTTTGTGGTTTTTAGATCAACATGTTCAATTATTAGAACATTTGTAGACTACCTATATCCTCAAATTTAAGTGAGTTAATGCATGTAAAATTCTTTAAATAATACCTGGCACATAGATTTAATAAATATTAGTTATTGTCTGCTGTAAGAAAACTGAATAATGTAAAAGTACATTATAACAGAGCCAGATACTTGCAAAATAAGTTAGAGAATTTTAAATTTTATGACTGGGTATAAGAGTTTATATTTCTGCTTTCTAGTGTTTACCACCTGAAAAGGAAATGCTTGACACACCAATAGGTATCTTGTATTCAGAGATGAAATTAAGATCGAAGTTTCTGGTTCCAGGAAGGAAAAATAGCATTTGGAGGCTTAACTAATTTTGTTAAAAAACCCTGATATTAAGGATATTAAGAAAATTGAAGAATTATAAGCCTAGGGAAATGCCCAATTTGTTGTTTCCATAGCTTT